GAAGTCATCAGGCATGGCTGCTAGGAAAGCCATAGGTGGCAGACAGCCAAGGTCTCTCCCCAAATGTCCTTCTGTCTGTCTGTCTGTCTGTCCATTCGTGTGTGTGTGTGTGTGTGTGTGTGTGTGTGTGTGATCCTCAGGTGGTTACTGTCAGAACTGCACAATGGATACAGTGGAACATTAAGCAGTCCAGAGGATGGCTGATTACGTTTAGATTTTCTGTCTACAAAGCCATTTTCTTGTGTCTTTTGTGTATGCAGTGGCAACCCAGTCTCAGGGACATGCATGCCTTCTCTCTGCTTTCCATGTTAGGTTGACAGGCAAGTCAACTTGGGAGACTCAAGAGTTTAACCCAATAACACTTGGTCATTGACACCCCACGTCTAGTATAGAACGAATGTGTTTGCTGCTACCTTTCTGGGACACAATAGTCTGTGCTTCCTACAATAGTCAGGACCTCCACTGAGTAAAATCCATGCACAGGATCATCTGGCAGGCACAGGATGAGAAAACTGAGCAGGAAGGACCCGGGGTAGCTTGCTTCTGGCCAGTCTCCTTTGAAATGGACGCTGCTTTCTTCAAGGGTCATTGCCCGGGTTCGGTCACAAGGCTACAAAGGCAGCTGGAAAGTGAGGTCTGCTTATGTGTGGGGGCAAAGGAACCAGTTTTTGGTAAGTGAATCTGAATTTGCAAAACAAGAATAGAGGAAAAGAAAGAAAAGAAAACAGAAGGAGGGAAGAAGGGAAGGGGGAAGGCAAGGCAAAGGGAGTAGGAAAGGAAGGGGAAGAGAAAAGAGAAGGAAAGGGAATAGAGAAATGGAAATGAGGGAAGGAAGGGTTGGGATGGGAAAGAAGTGGAGGAAAGAGGGAAGGGGAGGGAAAGGAAGATAAGGGATGGGAGGGCAGGGAAGGGGAAGGAGGAGGGAAAGACTAGCAACTGCTCATACTTTCTGGAGACAGAGATCATGTGTTCTGAGACACAGACCCTGCCAGGTAGTGGAGGCACAGAACCAGTGTCACCTGATTCTGGGCTGGCTGTGTGTCACCACCATCTACCTTTTCCTCACTAGACACCTGCTGTGCTCAGATCACTGTGACATTGTGTGGCAGCCAGTGTATGTCCACAGCCCCATCTGAGGCCAAGCTGAGAGAAGCTGATCTGTCTACCTAAGGTTTCTGGCTCAAGGGTCAAACAGTCCCAACTTCAAGTGGAATTGTTTCCCTGGCTGACCTTGAGCCGACACACAGCAGACAGACAGCTTGCCTCTTCTGAAATTTGACTCTCTATTTTCTGATTTGTAATGCAGAAATAATCTGTCTCCCCCTCTTCTCTCTCTCTCTCTCTCTCTCTCTCTCTCTCTCTCTCTCTGTCTGTCTTTCTCTCTGTCTCTCTCTCTGTCTCTCTCTCTCTTGTCTCTCTCTTTCTCTCTGTCTGCCTGTCTCTCTTTCTCTCTGTCTGTCTCTGTCTCTCTCTTTCTCTCTGTCTCTCTCTTTCTGTCTGTCTCTCTGTCTGTCTCTGTCTCTGTCGCTCTCTCTCTCTCTCCCTCCCTCCCTCCTCTCATCATTCTCCCTCCACCCCAGAAGTTACATAAAGCAGTAGCCCAGAGCACAGCAGAGACTCGGTAATTGCCAGCTGTTATTTCCAACTCCCCGCGCCTCCCTTTAATTGGCTCTGTTGTCTGAGAGCAAGCTTCCTGGCTGCTCAAGCCCACAGCCTCATCTGTCCCTCTGCTTTCATTTCTTCTGTATCTGCTTCACACCAGCTCTGCTGTTCTCTGGACCTGCCAGATCCATGCACAACTTGATGCCTTTGTATACTCTTTATTCTTAGTGGGGTCTCTATTTCTAACTACGTATTAAACCAAGTGGGGTTTCCCCACCTGGGGGACTATTCTGTGCAGTGTAAGATGTTGAACACCACCTTTGAACTTTGTCTACTAGAAGCTAGTACTCTCTTGCCTGTGGTCACATCAACCAAAACATCTCTGTTCCTTGCCAAATGTCCTGTGGTGGTAAAATTTTCCAAGGTGAGAAACATTATTTTATGTCCTCCTCTCTCTTTATCTCTAGTAAACTCCTACATATACTTCAGTGCCCACTGGCGATGACAGTTCCCACTGGAAAACCTACCCACCTTCTCCAGCAAGAATCAAACGTTCGTGGCTTTGTTTTTACTTTCATGGTACTGTGCTTTTGTGTGACACGTCCTTTCCACATCACAATCTTTGTGCCCACAGACTTGCAATGTCTCTGTTGTTCTTTTTAATCCCCAGCTTCCAAGTCAATGTCTAGCATGGGGTAGATTATAACTCTTTAGAAAGATAAATAGTGGTTAGGGAGATGGCCAGTTGGCAAAATGCCTACCCCACAAGAATATGGACTTGAGTTCAATCTCCAGCACACATATAAAAAGCTGTGCATGGTAGCACAGGCTTATTCTTGCTCTGGGGAGGTGGAGACAGGAACATCCCTGAGGCTCACTGGCCAGCTGCTCTAGACAAATTGGTGAGCTCTGAGTCTCAGTGAGAGATGCTTTCTCAAAACAAAAGCAAAAACAAGTGGGTGGTTCCCCTATTGCATCTAGCACTTGCACACACACACACACACTGTACACACACACACTCCCACACACTGTACACACACACACACACACTCCCACACACTGTACACACACACTGTACAAACACACTCCCACACACTGTACACACACACACTGTACACACACACTCCCACACACTGTACACACACACACTGTACACACACACTCCCACACCCTGTACACACACACACTGTACACACACACACTCCCACACCCTGCACACACACGCATACACACACAGTGTACACACACCCTCCCACACACTGTACACACACACACACTGTACACACACATACTCCCACACACTGTATACACACTCCCACACACTGTACACACACCCTCCCACACACTGTACACACACACACACACTGTACACACACACTCCCACACACTGTACACACACCCTCCCACACACTGTACACACACACTCCCACACACTGTACACACACACTCATACACACTGTACACACACACTCCCACACACTGTACACACATACTCCCACACACTGTACACACACGCACACACACAAACTATACACATACTATATACACACATACACTTTACACACACACCACACACACACTCCCACACACTGTACACACACACTCCCACACACTGTACACACACACTCCCACACACTGTACACACACGCACACACACAAACTATACACATACTATATACACACATACACTTTACACACACACCACACACACACACTCCCACACACTGTACACACACACACACGAACTATACACACACTATATATACACACACACATTCATTGCACACACACCATACACACACATACACCACACACATACTATATATACACATACCACACACACACGTACATCACATACATACACACACCAAACATGCATGCACACCATATATACACATACACCATACATACATACACACACGCTATATACATACACCTACGCTGTACACCCACACATACCATATACACACTACACACACACACACACACACACACACACACACCAGGGTAGAAATTTAGAAAGTGCTAAATGACTAGATCAATGAATGTGGAGTGAATATATATGCCTTCCTTAAAGTTGGGTTACTGAGGAAGACTGATCTGATTACTGGACCACCAATGGAAAGTAAAGCAAGGGCTGCTGAGGTCTTGGTTGGTTCACCAGAGCAGCTGCTGGACAAGGTCAAATGAACCACCTGAAACTTGTCTGTTGCAGGTATCCAGGAAGGGGTCTAGTCGGACTCTTGACTGCATGTTGCCATGACAAACTCTCCCTCACTGGTTCCTGCCTGTCCCAGTTGGACTTGGTGTTTCTCCACAGGCACTAAGATCCCACCTCAGGGCCTTTGCATGGCCAACATGACCCCTCATTCCACTCAGACTCCTGCCCAGATAAGACCCTTTGCCATCCAGCTCTAAAATCAAATCCACTCTTCACTCTCTGCCAGTCATTTGGCGCTTTTATTTATAGCATTAAATGTTTGCCTGCTTATCTAACTCCTGATCTCACTGCAGTCCCTTGGGGAGGGAGATCTTTGATTCTGTTTTAGTCACTGCTGTATCTTGGTGCCAAAAGTAATGCACACAGTCAGTGCTCAACACACGCTTGCTGAATGAATAAGTGGAGGAGCAGATGGAGGTTGTCGTGAACAGGCCTTGAGATGTGCATTGGAGATCGGCAGGAAAGGTGAGTTTGGACCTTTTCAATATGGAAGGACTCTTGCTCTCAAGGTTCATGGGGGACCAGGACTCCTGCCTCAAACGGTGTTAGGCAGAAAGGTTCATCCGTGTCCTGCCACTCCTGGCGTAGTTGTATTGGGAAGGGTAATTGTAAACTGTCATGTGCCATGGAGACCTTATTACTACCAGGGCTGCCCCTCCAGTGGAGCTGGTGGCATGCTCGGCTCTTAGTAGCAGCCAGCAGTACTGATGCTTGCCCAAAGCACTTGGTTTCTTGGATCCCAGATCACAGTCCTTAGTACACAGTGACTCAGGGCCTTCTGTTGGGGCATCTCAAAGCATGTCACCAGCCGTCACCCAGCTGGCATCCTTGGGAGGAGGTGGCACTGAGCAGCAGGTGCTTGGTCATTTTGCTTCTGAATCATATGTCCTTGGACACACATGGTCTTGTCAGCTTCCCAGAGGTTCTTTTGCCTTGGTGTTTGCAGTGCCCATTTTTTCTTCATGGTCAGGAAATAGTGGGAGAGGAGAGGGTGCTTCTTTTTGACTCCCTGTATTGGAACTCTCTGTTTACCTAGCCATTGTGGATGCTCACAGCTCCATTAGGACGTGGAAGGAGGTGCTTAGATACAGGCAGTCCCTGTGTTGCCAAGAGGACCAGCTTTAGCTGCCGCCCCCCTTTCCTTAGAGGCAGCTGCTAAGGTAGGTACGGAGGCGATGCTTTGGATGCTCCTCTACTCCCGTGCAGTGCTTTTGGGGATCTGCCCTGCTTTCTCCATTTCCAGGCAGGCTGTGTTCTTAAGGTGACGTGGCAGGAGAGCTGCAGATAGAAGGGAAAAGGACCAGCCGTGCTCATGGGATGGCAGAAAATAGGATCCATTCAGGACAGTGGTGAGTCACATAGGCCTCACACATTTTTCCCTAAGGAAGGTAGCAAGATTAATTCACATAGACTCTGGAATCAGCAGGAATCTTCAGATACCTGAGCCATTCCCTGAGGAGGCTGGCTTCTTCTAAGGCAAGCACAGTGTTTTCTTGCTATGATGGCCTGGGATTCAGGAAAATGTTTCCGTTCACAGTACTGTGGCATCTTGGAATGGGGGTCTTGCTCTATCTTCTGTTGCTTGTAATAACAAAATTCCAGGGTTTAGACATTTTTTAAGGCAAAATGGCTGAGTCCACAGGTCTAGAGCGAAGAGCATGATGCTGATGTCTGCGTGGTTACAGTGAGGGCCTTCTGGCACCATCATGATGTGGCTGATGGCATTGTAGTAGGAGTGAATAAAATCCTGGAAGCCAGGGGATTTGAGGCCTTGTCCACTTCTTTGGTTGCTGTCAGTAATTAACCACCATAGAAACTAACTTGGATTTTGTGAGAACTCTGTCAATCTCTTCTGAAAGGGTTGCCTTCATCAATCTACTTGTGTTCCACTAGACCCCACCTCTTCAGGATTCCACCATCTCTCAAAGCCACCACACTAGGGGCCAATTTCCTAGTGCATGTTCCCTTCAGAAATGCACTTAACCTCACCCACTCTGTAGCAGTGGGCACATCTTACCTAGTCATATCTATCCTAGGCAAGTGTGGACCACTTTTCTATCACCAGTAGGGTTGGGGAGCTGTTTGCCACATTGCTCAACAACAGCTTTGAAGCTAATCATTGCACTTTGGCCCACGACCGGGACCTATCACCTCTAGGGCCACCAGCCACTGAGTATCTCTGTGTCCATTGGCCACTCAGCCCAGATCAGAGGAGTTGAAGGTGAGGGAGCAGACGGTTTGATCAGTATAGGGAAGCAGCCTGGGTTGAAGTAAGGGGACAACTGCTTCTGCACAGGCCCCAGGGCATGCTTGCTGGAGAGCTCGGGCTGGGATGTGGTCACCGATACAATCTGGATTCTCACTTTGCCTTACACTGTAGAGGCCAGAGAAATCCAGGAGAATGGATGGCCTGATGTACAAAAAAGGCTCCAAGAGAGGTGTGGAGGATTTCCTGGGCAGCTGGGTTATCTGACTTGTGCATTGGTTTCCTTATTATACACCTGGCCCCATCTTCTTTGTCCACTGGCTAACCCCTTTCAGCTGTACACAATCCATGGACCTGCCCTCCTCAGCCCCTCTACCTGCTCCAAAGCTCTCTCCCGCTATGCCTTTTGATGTCTTCTCCTTAGTTGCCATGAAGAAGTGCTCGTATCAGCAAACAGATGGCGGCTGAGGCATGTAGCATAAAATATATTTATCAAGGCAAACAGCTGTAGCCCATTTCATTCTGCAGATTTCTATTAAAAGTTCTCCAGAGCTCTAGGCGCTCCGAGGCAGCAACCTGAGTGAAGACCAGGAGGCATGGCTTTGTGTGGCTCTTCTCCCATCTCTTTCTTCCCAGGCCAAAGAGAAAGCAACCGTCTCTAGTATTCCTCTTAGCTGCCTCCCATTAAAACACCACGGTTGTACTGGCATCCTGGCTCTCCCATGTACTTGCGTTTCAGGGGCTGTGGTGAATAATGGTGATGGGCTGGCTATGACAGGGCCACTGTTGCATGCTAGACAGTGCTTTGAGCAGAAAGAAGACTCTGAGAAATCCCCTGACCCTAGCTCTCTTCTCACTCTCTTTCTTGTGGGGTTTTGGGGGTTTCTGTGGTGCCCCTCGTGGTGGCTTCAAAGAGCTCTGGCGTTAAGTGTTAGACTATTGTGTGGGGCAATTGCAGGCTCTGCTATTCATTTACTTTGAACTTGGGTGGATCCACCTTATTGATTTGGGTGATATTGAATTAAAAAGCAAGCCCCAAGTTTCTTTTGGGGTAGGAAAGGTGAAATGGTCAAGTGTAAAACCAGATCAAGGTACCCAATGTGTGCCTTTTCTGAATATACCTACTATATGCCTTTTCTGAAGATACCTACTGTGTGTCTTTTCTGAAGGCAGGTGTGGTTAGTCTTCATACAGGAACTTGTGAAAAGTGTGGGGTTCAATGGAAACTTCTAGTTTGAGGCCTCAGAGATGAAATTCCTGCTAATATTACACCTGGCTCTAATTAATGCAGTAACCATGAAGAGGTATAGAGGGTGAGGTGGAAGTCTGTGGAAAGTCATGCCCACCATGCAGTGGTCAATAGGAAACTTCTTGCTTTTGCATTGTTCCAAGGGTAAAGAAATAAACAGCTGGAGGACTTAGATGTTCAATGTATTACAGTAGGGACTTCTTGTCAGCATGGGAAACCTCGTGGTCTGCCTGTAAGCTGTTGGGGTGCAAAGAAACTGTGCTCTTTGTAGATTTGAGACCCATCTTATGTTATTTAACCAAACTTCCTTTATATCTTGATTAGGTTAATTCAATTATGCCTTTCTGGCATCTCAGTTTCCCCCACCACAAACTGGCAATGCAAATAATACTGAGTCCAGAGAGTCACTGTGAGGACTAAATGAATGGGTCTGAATAATTAATCCCGAATCATGCCTTATGTAGAGTAAGCATTCGATAAATGCTAATTGCTCTTTATGGAGATGACCTTCCAGCCTTGGTGTTGGTGTATGAGCGCAAGGCAGGAAAAGCATGTTATAATGGAGGGGGTTTGTGGTGCTAATATTTATAAACCGCTGGCAAGCTTCACAAGGCCGATCTCCTCCACTGAGCACATTGTCACATGGCTTTTGCTTGCAGCCAAGATGGCACACTGAAAATTCCTTGCATAGATGATACCCTTTTACATGCATCATCTAATTGGATCCCTTAGAGGGGAAGAGGCAAGCAGAGCCTTCCTTATGACTTCAAGGAGGTTATATAATTTGTTCAAAGTCACCCAGCTGGCAAGCGTTCATGTCTAAGATATTCAGTTCCCTTGACAGTGGTCTTTCTGCTTGATGGAGTTACTTTTCCTCATGGGAAATGGTTGCTTATGATTGTGGATAATTAACACGCTCCAGCCAGGATAACTGTTGAGTTTTGGGCTTCCTAAATTTACTCAAGCTATAACTTCAGGTGTTTGCTTTAACACTGATTTCTGGGACAGGATCCAAGCTTAAGTCGGGATTTCCAGAAGAAAGATCCCGCAATTTGTATATTTCTCAAGGATTCTGGATGGTTCTGTTGATCAGGACGAGCTGGGGAATGCTGGTCTAGAGAACCTAGCTTTGCACTCAGATCTTTATTAGCTGCCTTAGGCACATCTAATAAGGTCAGGGGGAGGCTGGAGCAAACTGTGGTGGCCAATTCACAGGACTAAAAATTTGTCAACAGGTACATATTTACAAACAAGGTACCTTGTCCAGTTTTGCATGGTGAGTCAGCAATGCCTTCTGGGAAAATAAGAGGCATCCAATGATGAAAGCCTTGGAGCACTTAAGGGTCTCAAACCACTAATGTAGCTTGCTCAACTGTCCTACTTCCAAAGTTAAAATACTAATGCCAGGTGTGGATGTTATCTCTTATTGCCGGTCAGATCCTGTTCAGTTCAATGCTGCAAGTAGCCGTATGCTAATATTGGCCAATGGAATTCTTTGGGAGCATTCAAAGAAGATGGGGTAAAATGCTAAAAGCCTGAAGTACAGAGCTTGTGCCCAGCCTCAGGAAGCCTTCACTTCAGGGGGTGAGGCTGATAGCTGGGTAGAATCCTGGGAGATGTAATTCAGGACAATAACAATCCCACACCCACACCCGTAGCACTGCAGGTTATGTTTGGCTGGTCAGCTAGTCTTATTGACACATTTTGTGGAATTCTCTGCCTGCACTCTGACCTGCCCAGATGCTTTAAGCTTCTGCCCTTTGGCTTGCACTGTGTGGCTTTGTCCCCCAACTTTGTTTCTATCTTGGAGTTAAGTTCACATGAAGTCCTCCCTAGTGAAACTAGTCCCGCTTCTTTTCAGAAAGGCAGACAGGCCCACCCTCTGAAACCTCTCTAAGTTCTTTGCTCCCATGTTGTGTTTCACAGTGTTATGTGTTCTTTCCCTGGTACTGTACTGGGATCTAAGTGTCTCAAAGCCAGGGCCTATAGATTTCAGCGCAGAGCTCACTGGCAGGATGTAGGAGACAACCATATAGTGTAACAGAAACTTGTTTGTAGAGAACATGTTCCAAGACCCAGGCTCTGATCCTCCAAGTGGACACTTGAGGTCAGACGACATCAAACTCAAGGCGGGGATGATATATTTTTGCAAGCCTCAAGTCCATGAAGATCAGAGTTTGGAACTGTTGCTAGGAACTCATCCATCCCTGTCTCCTAGATCTGCTTCCGTACCACCTTGACTCCATCCTTAGGCAGGCTGCCTTTTGCAGCGGAGGACAGAAGTGGTGTTCAGAATCCCACCTGCTCAGACATCTCAGAGGAAAGAGGACTCCTTTCCTAGAAATACTGACACAAATTCAAGGCCAACCATTTGTCATGAATGTGATTAGTTACTTCTGAATGGAAAGGTCACGAGCCCTTACTTGAACCAGAAAGAGGGAGCAGGTGTAGACTCTCGTGCAGAAGAGAAGGCGGGTAGCTGCTAAGCAGGCACAAACAGCAGATGCCCAAGCCAAGGCTGTTTAACTTTTCCTGGGAAAATACTCCACCACCAAATTATGTTCTTTAACACTGATTTCATTTCTGATGCTAAACAGGCATTGTAAAAAAAATACATGCATTAATCATAAGATAAGTCATTCCCGAAGCCTGTGAATAGCTCAGGGTAGCTTGTCTATGGAATACATACCTCGACTCACAACCCACACAAATATATCCTAAAGAAGTCGTTGTGGCACGTGCAAGGAGTCAAGGATGTTAATTGCAGCATCTATCTAAGAAGAGCAACAAATTCTAAAATAACAAATGCTTATCCCAAATAGAGTTTGTGTTAGACACCTTGTAGAGCAGTCATTAAAATGATGCTCCTAAAATGTATTTGATATGGAAAAATGCTCAGGGAGTTATGATACGATGTGAAAGAGAAATGCAAAGCATTTATATGCTGTAATCCCAAATTTGTGTGAATATACATAGCTTTAGTAAGGGCTGGGAAGAAACACTCAGAAATGTTAAAAGTTCTGGAGTGGTAAAATTACCAATGAATTTTTCCTGCCTTTATATTTTTTTTCTGTTTCCCAAATATTTTCCCCTAAGAATGGTATTATTTCAAAACACATTTTGTAGGTTTTATATGCATGCTTCTGCATCTGGGCAACTAAAAACACATTGCATTGACTTTATGGTGATTGCAAAGTGAGATGTTCCATTTTCTTCGGGACTGAGTCCGGAACAGACTCAGAGAGAAACTTCATGGCTTGCCTGTACAGGCTAGGCAAGAAGGCAGGCACCTCTACTTCCATTTCTCATAGCGTGGGGACCTGTTACTTCTGTGTGGTGAGGGTGCATCCTGGCTGCTGACGCAACCTGCATGGCAGGTAGGTAGGGGAAATGGGAGAGGGAGAGGGAGAGGGGGAGAGAGAGAGAGAGAGAGAGAGAGAGAGAGAGAGAGAGAGAGAGAGAGAGAGAGAGAGAGAGAGAGAGAGAGAGAGAGAGAGAGAGAGAGAGGAGAGAGAATCATTCCCCTTCAGAGGACTGCAATAAAGGAGCATATGTATCAACTAAAAAAATTCCTTGGCAACAAAAGCTTTTTAATTGAACACAGTCTCTCCAGCCAACTTATGTAAATTCTATCCCAATTTTGGGCGTCTATTTTGAGCACAGAGAAAAGCGGTATGAATCTTGCCCTAAAATTGTGCTCAACAGAAGGGGTGACGCCATATGGATGCCATGCTATGGGAGCCTGTCACCTGCTAACGGCTATGAGAAATTACAGGTTCTAATCGCTTTCCTGCTGGCTAAGAAGCCCCAGTGGGTGGGAACACTTAGGGCATCAAAGTAAAAAGTGACAGGCGAACACTCTCCTGGGGTCTTGTGGCCACAGGTGTGTCAGGAGTGGCAGGATGAGAAGAAAGGGGAGCAGTCAGTTTTGGATGGGAGAAGTGTTGCTTCTTTTCACCAGAGGGGAGGGAGCAGAGTTCCTTCTTAGGCCACTGTCACCCGGCACCTCAGGTTCAGCAATCAGCCCAGCTAGGAGGCTGTGGGACCCTCTGGTGAGTGCCCTGGCTTATGTAATTATATCACAGAGAAGCTGAGAAGAAGGAGAGGGATGTACCCACCACAGTGTGCCTGTCAGAGGGGCACATGGGGCCAGAGATACAGGGTAACACAAGACCTGCTACATGTCCCACCACCCATCACCCCTGAGCTTCAGGAGGATGAGTTTTGTCACAGGGCCACTACTTCCTGCCGTGGGATCTTTAAGCCAGCCAGCAAGTTATTACTGGTGGGGATGCAGGTCACTAAGTTTCACACTCTCGGTAGCTCCTAGTATATCTGGAGGTCTTTTTCTAGAGAGGTTTTTTTTGTTTTGTTTTGTTTTGTTTTGTTTTGTTTTTTACCAAGATTGTTAAATACAATTCAGGGAAAGATGCAGACATATTTCTAGCTTGCTTTCTCTGCACACCCCAATCCCAGTCACTCTAGTTCACAGGCCAATTCAATTTCTGGGGCTTAGCTTTTCCCTTTCCTTGGTCCCAATGTAGCTTTGTTGGCCTGAGCACATAGACTCAGGATGGAGCAAGCTATACGATGGGACCCGCTGTTGCCTGTTTCAAAAGTACTAATTGAAACTTCCAAAAGCACTAATTCAGAGAGGACAGAGCCCACGTCCCTAAGGGCCTGGGGGCATATCCATCACAAAAGTGAAAGTGAGAGACCTGATTAAATAAATGTTTCCATGGGTCCTGTCTGCAGTTGCTCGAGAAACTAGAGCACAGTAGAGACTGACTGCAGACAGCAGTGTGAGCAAGCATTCAGGCAACAGGCTAGGAGGCAAGGTGCTTGACACACCGCAATGTGGCCTGCTCACTGATCTAGCTGCATTTCCTTGGCCTGGCTGAAGAGCATTTGGGTTCTCCTGGGAAGGTTTGCTGGATAGTCTACCTGCTGCAAGACACAAATTATCTTTCCTCTTCCTCTCCTTCCCCACTTTCCTCCGCCCATCCCCCCTTCCCCTTTCTCCTCCTCTCCTTCCCCTGTCTATCTCCCTCCATCCCTCCTTTCTTTATTTCCATCCTTCAATTGCCATATGTATTCATTGAACACTTACTGTTCTCTAGGTACCAGGATCATGACTTGGAACCAAAGGAAGAACAGGTTCTCACCTGTTCTTGAAGGAATTTACAGGAAAGAGACAAGCACATCAATAGGCTTGTTAGGTTGTGGGCGTAGGAGGCACTGTGAAGATTCACCAAGGAACTTCTACATCGAATTACCAGGGCTGAGAAATAGTGGGGTTCTGTGATGGCTTATTGGTGTGTGTGTTGATGGAAGTTTCTGTCCCTACCAGTCCTACAGCCATTTAATCTCAAATAAACACACAGAGGCTAATATTAATTACACATTGTTTGGCTGATGGCTCAGGCTTCCTATTGGCTAGCTCTTTCTTAATTATTGATCCATTTCTATTAATCTATCTATCTCCATGTGATCTTGTCTTACCAGAAAATGTAATAGGTTGATCCTGTACAGTCCAGGTTGGCCTGCAGCTTGCAGTTATCTTGTCTCCACCCCTTCAATGCTAGGATTACTGGTATACACAACCTCACCTGATTTGCTATTGTATTTTACACACAGTTCAAGTCAATGAATATTTCAGGTTAAATAGATACTGTATTGGACCATAAATAAATACATTCTCTTTTGGCTTTGCTTGTTTGTTTGAGACAGTGTCTCAACATGTAGCTTTGGCAAGCATGGAGGTGCTGTGTAGACAAGGCTGTCCTGGAACTCATCGAGACCCGTCTGACTGGGATTAAAGATGTGTGTCACCACAGGGCAGCAAGAAATACATTCTTAAGTATAGAACAATATGTGCAAAAGTAAACATATTAAAACTGAAAAATATAGTGGAGAATAAGGAATGCTTATAAGAGTTAGGGTAGTTGCAAAAAGGGTTTTAGAGGATGAATAGGAGTTTATACTAGGAAAGGGGGCAAGAGGGAAGGACATAGCAATAAAGGAATTGATCAACATGGAATAGCCAGGGAATTGCCAGAGAATAGATGAGAAGATGGAGTGGCAATTGTTGAGGATGAAAAGGTTGTCAGCAATGGAATAACATTTTAAACAAATAACCCACAGTGAGGAGCCACCGGCTGCATATTTCTATTATCAGACTCATCCAACTGTACTGTAAGCTATCTACATTTGTCTCCCCGCAGGATCATAAGCTCTTTGGATGAAGAGGTGTCTCCTATTATTCTTTTTACCCTGTTGCCTGGCAAACACTACGTACTCAATATCTGCTGAATGATGAGTGAATGGGATCCATTCCCCGAGGAGCCTGGACTTTGCTGAAGGCATGCTGCACCCTCCACTCGGAGTTTCCCCCTGGGAGATACCCAGTGAACGTTCTTGAGTCTGATGAAAAGGAGGCCAGAGTAAGACACTGGCTTCAGAGGGGACATACTCTTATTGTCAACCTAGCAGCAAGGTCTTAGGGAGTGCCAACCCGGGGAGACTGAGAGCAGCAGTGGGATCCTGTTCTCAGTGTTATTTTACCCCAGACAAGGATAACTTTGCTCAAAGGGCTGGTTTGGGGGCTTGTCTGCACAGAAATAGCTATTCAACAAATGGGGTCTGAAGCCTGGCTAAAAGCAGCTTCTTGGGAGACACAATGGTGTTAAAATAAAAGGAGATGGGCTGTCAGTCTTAGGGACCAGCTTTGACACGGAGAACCTTGGAAGCTGGAGGGAGGATCCACCACCACCACCTTGCAGGCCAAAGCCGCCACTGCATTTCTGGCCTCTCCCTTTGGAAAGTGGGGATCTGAGAGACTGCTGTCTGCCACCACCCCCCTCTGCCACACACACCAGGACAATTTTCTATGCTATGGAGAAGGTCCCCCAGACACTTGAGGATTCTACCCAAAGAGATGAACTTCCTCAAGGGCAAGGTGGAAACAGCTTCTAAAGGCACTCCCAGGTTGTCAGTACCCCAATAATTTTTGGTGGATACCCCTCAAATGCTCATTGGGTTGAAGGAATGAAAACAGCAGCTGTAGCTCCTGTTTAGCTTACAGGGTATCAGATGCTCTCTGAGAGCTTTTTCTGTGGTGATCCAGTTAGTCTGCACAGCAAGCCCATGAGTTAGGTGCTGCAGTTCATGGATGGCAAGGATGACAGAGATAAAGCCCACTGAGCGTCTCTGCACCCCGGGTTGTGATGTGCCGGCTCCTGGGGCTCTCTTCTGAGTTCTGATGGGATAGCCTATGGCAAACATATCACTGGTCATTTTCTGATTCCTGCCCTGTGCTAAGCAAGGTGGGTTACCTACCAGTCTGCTCAGGAGTTTATGGCTGTCATGCATACAGTTGCAGCCAAGCCAAGCGAGTCTCAGTTTCCCAGTGGCATGATCCACAGTAAACATTTCTTTCCTTGAAAGCGAGGCCGTGTCTGAGCTGAGCTCTGGGGTTGAGTGTGTGCTAGAGCCTCAGAGGAGGGCAGATCACCCTAGACAGTTAGTGATAGCACGGCTGTGATCCCCACTGGGGAATGGTCTCTTAGTAGCGTTATTGGCTGGTAGCTCACTGAGAGTCTCAGTTCTCCCCTGGGCTTACTACTCCAGGACAAGGGCCTCCCTAGGCTTGGTGGGCAGCAAGGTTGGCATATGATCAGAGTGTTGAGAAACTGCAGGCTTTGCATCTTCCCCAAGAGTGGCAGAACCTGAGGAGGCTTGGACCACCTTTGTTTGACATAAGTGATTTCTGTCTGCCGCTGACATCAGTACCCTGACCTTACCCAGAGGGACTGCAGCAGTGCAGTGCACTTAGATCCTGTTAAAGTCCTGGCCAAGCAAGGAAGCTGTGTGTGCTCCTGAAGATCTGGCAACACAGGCCCACTTTTGCTCTAGGGTGTGTTGGCTCTTTCATTTCGCAGGTGGGCACAGAGCTTTAGAGATGGATGGGCTCACAAGATGATTTGATCCAAAACTTTTAAACTAGGAAAAGAGAATCTGAGAACTGGCTGGGCAGCACCATGTCACTGTGCTGTTGCTAACTTCCTGTCTGTTGCTTATTTTAAGACACCATGTTGTAGACCCCTTGCCCCGCCCGGAAAAAACAAAAGCACCTAATGTCTCTAGCAGTTGATTTTATTTGGAGATCACTGCCTTCGGTGAGGAGTGTGGAGAAAGCTAGAAGGGCCTGGAAGTCTGATTTTCTGTAAAGGAAATCACTTTACCTTGGATTCACTACCTGAGTAGAGACCGACCAGAGAGTGGGGTGTCTCCTCCCCAGAGCCCTTGATGACACTGAAGGTTAGAGGGTTATGGCGCCAGCCATTTCTTTACCTATGGGGTAGTCCTTGACATTTGAGGTTTTTTTCTGGCCTTAGGGTCTTTGTAAAATGTCAAGTACACCTGTTATGTCACCTTTCCTTGGTTCAGTCAACAACAGGCAAGCACCTAGCATGACACCCGGAGCTGGGAAGTTTCCACATTCGGTCTTGTTGTACCTTCACAATCTTTAAATAAAATCAATGAGACAGGCCTGGTTACAAGCTCCAGTGTGCAACAAAGGAGATCCCATGACTTCGAGAGCTTTCAGTTCTGAGCTGAATCTTAGAGAGGCTGCCTTCCAACTCTAACCTGGCCTTCTTGCTCTAGGGCTCTGTTTTGAGTGCATATGTCTGGCTAGAGAGACAGATACCAGAAAAGGGTTGTAATGGCCTGAGATTGGGCTCTTGAGAACTTAGCAAGACTCACTTGTCTCCAAATGGAGGAGCAACAAGTTCCTCTGGGAGGAGAGGTCTCTGTGACAGTAGCTTCCCAGTGACAGAAGGCCTTATGTTGACTTGTACTCCAGACACCTACACATAAGACAGTTTGAAAGACTAGGAGATGTGGATTAGGTCATCATAGTTTGAGGACCTACAGATTGTTGTGTGTGACTGAGTGGGCATGGGGTAAGGGGTACTAGAAGAAATAGCCTGGAGTCTGACCTCGAAGACTCTCACAGGCATACTCTAGATCCTAAGGCAATAGGGAGCTATGGATATTCTTAGTAGGGAATGACATCATTAGATTTGAGTTTTAGAAAAATCACTGCCTGTCTCATAAGATTTCTGCAGGAAACAGGCTCAGCCGGCTCATAAAACTGTTACAGATTGTAGCTAAGCACGAAGTCAAAATAGCATACACGACAGCTAATTAAAAGTATCTCCAAAGTCCCTACTTTAATGTTTCTGTCTCTACTACCTGAGACCCAGTCCCATTTCCTGGCCACATGGTAGACTCAATGCCCAATGTGAGTGCCAGTTTTGGCACTGGGCTGAACTGGGGCAGAACGGGATAGAGGGAACCAGGTAGTTGCTTCTCATATTTCCCGGCTCCTCTCTTCTTGGCTTAGGAGAGCCCGATGATCTGACCTGCAGGCAAAAGCATCTTTTTGTAGGCTCCCGTACATTCTGGGGGAGACTTCTCTGCTGGCCTACTTGCTGAAGGTTGATATGCATCTCTGCCTAATTGAATTCTCATCTTTTCAAAAGTATATTTTTGTGCTGTTGCCTAGAGGCATTCAGGTAATGGGTGCTTTTCTAATAAAGCCAATAAGTAAATAACTGTATTTTCTCCCTGGGAAATCCAGAGGGACTCCTATGCTATTTGAAACAGGGATGTGGGGAATGAGAATGGAAAACCTTCACACACCCGGGCTTTCAGATGGATTCTAATGGGCATTCTTAGGACAGAAGAAACTCAGCTATCACGAAGCACAGGCACGAGTCACCAGAGGAACACACACCGCTGGCACCTTCCTGTCCCCAGACACCTGTGGGTTCACATGCTGGCAGCTGACCCCCTCTAGTGTTGACTTAAATACATATTTGCTTCGAGAGAATAGACCTACAGGTGTTGATGCTAAAGTGGGTTCTGTTCCCGGTGCCCCCCCCCCCGTGCCTTAGACACACTGGGTTGCAAACAGGACTCTAGAGATTTTTAAACTCGGGGTTCCATGGTGACACCATCACAGCTTTGGTCATCTGCCCCTGATTATTCTGCTATAATCAGGGTGTCTGCATGTATCCCCAGTCTGTCTGCCTCCCCATTCTCCCCACACTCTGATGTTGTGATGCTTATTCTTGTCAGTACACTTGATTCTGCCATTCATTTTTCTAGATTCCTCTACTTTCTTTCCAACTATTCATGTTCCGGGTCAATCTTCCTCTTCTCTCTGTCTCACACCATAATAAGCTCTCTTGCCTTCAAGTCCTCCAGCATTTAGGGCACTGACATCTTAAATTTGTGACATGTTATCTAGGCATGTATGCTTTCACTTAGCTTTACTGTGTGTGTGTGTGTGTGTGTGTGTTATTACGTTTGCATGTATGCATGTTGATGATGTGTGCATGAGCATGCATTTGTGTAAGTGTGGAGGTCAGAGGTCAATGTCATGTATCATCCTCTATCATTGCCCATCTTACTATTTTGTGACAAATTCTCTTTCAGATCCATCAAACCCAAAGAGTTCCCTTGTCTCTACCCCCATCACTGGGATTTCAGGTATGTGCTGTTGTGCCTGGATTTTCACATGGAGGTCAGCACTTGGGCCCTCATCCTTGCATAGCAAACATGTTACTCACTGAGGCATCTACCAACCCTTGCCTCTCAGTCTTTGTCTCTCAGCCTGTATTTAACTTTGTAAGGTTACAATAATATCTATGTGGGTGAGATGTTGACAGGAGTTTCACACATAGGAAATGTCTAACCTCATCCTATCATAGGAACTTATGGCTTGCAGCAACCTGAATTGTTAACCCTTGTCTTAGAGTAACACTATATTGAAGGGTTGATTCTCTCTCTCTCTCCTTGTTTGACCTCTTGCTATCCTCAGTCACTCTAATTCCAACATTCTCTACCAACTTTCAAGAAAATTCTTAGATACCAGCACAGCCAAACAAAATAAGCTCTCTGTCTTGGCCTACCGGTTCTGGTCTAGTCTGAGTCTTATCTTAAATAGAGGTGGGCTAGCAGCATCTGTGACACAGAGGCTTTTGTCTTCAGAGGGATGTCCTTCTTCACTGCTTTACATTAAATCCAGCCACTTGTCTGAAACCATAGAGGTGAGCACTGCCCTAACAAGTGGCAAATCTCTCCTTAGGGAGAAACTCGCAGGGCCCTGCACCTCATTGAATAGCCTGGACCCATTTTGTAAGTGTGATAATTGAGGCAGCCTGTCCTCTGGATTGTAGAAGTCAAGGAACCCAGCTTCACAACCAGGGTGATGCTCACTGTTCCTTCCTGGACCCTAAACTTTTACCCCCCATGCTTTTCTAAAGGGAGTAGGTTAATTCGAAGTGACAGAAACATGCTTTGGGACTGAGTTTATAGCTTAGCGCAGGGGACTCACTTCACATGCTCAAGGGCAAGAGTTCTAACCTTAGCTCTGGAAGAATAAAAAATCCACAGTGGTTTGAAAGAGAAGGATCAGATTTTAGATTTCAGATGATCCCTGTTGGAGCCCTCTCAGAACTTTCCACTAAACCCTTGGAAATGCTGTTGGCCATGGCTGTAGAAGCAAATGCATGTTTTCCTCAGAGCTCCTGACTAATATGTGCCCTCTTTCCCTCCCCCTCTCTTTGGGCCTATGCCCTCTCTTCCACTTCAGCTCCATCTAATTCCTTGCCCAGACATAACAGTGTCCCTCTGGACCCCCGCCTCTCTCTCCACACAAGAACAGAAGTTCTACAGCATCCTTTTGCCTGCACAACTTCCTCTGTGGAATCCCAAAGAAAGAGCCTGGGCGGATGGAAAGTGATTTATAATCCAGAGTGCGGTTTCTTTCACTGTTGGTTCCGGTTTCCTGCCTCAGGAATCACTCTGCATATTAGCACTACACTGATGACATTCAAAACAGGTGCAACTGCCTATAGAACAGCTGCCTCGGCCCACTGAAAGCGGCAAGCGGAGACCCCGGGTGCGTGAACCCTCCTTCTGATAAGCTTCAGAGCAAGTAAAATCATCATTAAAGGAAAATTGACTTGTAAGGACTGCAAGATTCTAGTCACTGCATCTAACCACAAAGAAAAGTGAGGCGGCAGCGGCCGAGGGAGTCTTCTTTAAGAACACATTCAGTAGAGTAACACAAAGGAATTGCCATCACAAGAGAGAAGCAAGGCACAGCTTCCAGATGCCAAGAAGGCAGACAGAATTCTCCTGCATGGGGGGGGAGGGGTTTCCAGCTTAGAGTGGACACCTAGGAGGGATCACAGCCCTGAAGGGCATTTCCAGAGAGGTGTGGATGGGGGTAAGATCATGCTTTCAAAATACAGGAGGGCTGGGAGTTCATGTTAGGGAACAAAATGAACCCCAAGAGGTTGTAGGACATCAGGCTTGAAGCTGGTATAGCTGTCATTAGATCTCCCATGATTTGGGGACCTGAGGGGTAATTTGTAAAATTCCTTCTATTTAAGACACAATGCCTTGCAAAGCTTCACAAGAACAGGCTATACTCCTTTGTGGGCCCCATGCGACTCACATATGCAATCCTGACCTCTGCTTTTATCCCTATTCTGTCATCTACGGAGCACTCAAAGTGTTCCAGCAGCTAAGCACAGCACTTAGTGTGTCTTCACCAAGGATTCAACAGGTACAGGTGTCCCTCATCCAGGTAACAGATGCTTAAACTGGAGATCAGGGCAGCAATTACTTGTCCTGAATCAGAGAGCTGGTGGAAAGAGGTAAATCAGGATATGAACACTAGTTGTCAATCCTAAAAGGGCTTGGCCCATCCTGCCTTTGCCTTTTATCAAATTAGCATGGAACTTACTTCAGAACTAAAATGGCAAGGGAATAGGGCATTGCCAGAGCTTCCTGCTCAGGCCCCTCCATGAACTGTAAAGTTATATTGCAGAAAGTGCAATATCTATAGGAAGGGAGTCAGGGAGAAGCAATCTGGGGAAATAAAGATGCCAAGGGTCTTCATATAGCCAGAGATTGAGACGACAAGGGAGAGAACAACTCAAGCATTGGGGAAAAACTGAATTATAGCCTAGAAAATGTGTCAGGCCCCAAGCTAGGGGCTGCAAAAGCATTCATACACCAAGAAATGCATGGTATACACAGAGCCCTAAATATCTTACAAGAAGCAATGAGACATCAATGTGCATGAAAAGGATACTGTACACAGGTCATTGGTGATGCAGAGGGACTTCTCCAGCAATGTTGGAGAGAGGCAGAACTCCCTGTGGACTGGGGTTATTGGGGTGGCATCACAGAGATGTAGGACTTCTGAAGTCCCTCAATGAGATATCATCCTCAGGGTCATTATGCTTCCTACAGTAAGCCAGACACAGAAAATCAAGTACATGTGTGGTATTAAAACAGGTAGATCCAGAGGCTTAAATGAGTTGACTGCCATAAGTCAGGAGAACAAGTAGGAAGAGAGGAATGGGGGAATGATTGGGCCATGGCATACTACTGTCTCATAGGAATTCAGCTGTGCTATGACAAGGGTGACAACAGATAGTGACATGGTGTTGTCTACTCCAAAAGAGCTATGGAAAAGAATTTTGGGCATTTTTACTACAAAGAAATGATAAATGCTTGAAGAGAGAGGTGGAGACACTCCCCAATTCTACCAAGACTTCTGTTGACCTGCCAGTGTTGCTAGGCAGACTTTTTTTTCCTGTGTCCATCCCAGTAATGATGTCTGTGTGGTTCTTTAACACATCTTTCAGTAATTCTTCCCCCATTCCAAGACTGTAAGGTGCGCAAGCAGCATTTCAGCACAGCAGACAAATACAGTAAGATCGGAAACCTGGCTCCTGGAAGCAAAGGTACCCTGCATAGCCCTTTCCCCTTCTATGTCTCTGCATGATATCACATTAGCCTCTTTGCCCACCTCTTGGGTGTTTATTGCAATCCCAAAGCCAGGTGAAACCTCAGTCAGGCTCTCAGGTGACACATTAGCTGTGGTGACAGACCTGTGATGGGGCCAATAGATCATGCAAGATTTTTTTTTCTACAGACAGCTGTCACAGTAGTTCCAAAGCCCATGTGCTCATTTGGGGAGCCTCTGGAGGAACATTCAATGTTTTACCAAAATAGTTGGTGTAGATTCACTCTACTAGCAATCCCGTTCTTAATTAGTGTCATTTGCAAAGAGGGCTGCAGCCTGGCTTCTGTTCCAGCCTCGCTGCAGTCCCAGGAGGCAGGGAGGCACCTCATCCCTGGAGGATGAGTCTGCCCTGCTTCAGGGAAAAAAATGTAATTTTGTTTTAAAAACCTTGGGGAAGTCTTAGGTCTCTCTGATGGAGAGAAAAACAAAGAGAAGACGGTTTTCAATTCGCCTCCTCTCCTGTGCTTGGGCCCAGAGGCAGTAATTACTTAGATTAGAAGGCATTTTTTAAAAATCATCTTCCCGACACATCCGGCCAATCTCCCGTTCACCTTCTTGACAAATAGTACAGGCTGGGGAACACCCCACCCCCAGATCAACCCACCATACTTGGTATTCTTGGGACCAAATCAATCCAGCTACCATTCTTTTCCCTGACTCTCTTACCCAGGGATGAATGTGGGATTTTAGACTCTTCCAAAGGAAAAGAACAAGAAAATAGTTGGGGATGGAGAGAGAGAGTGTCCCATGAAAACCATCTTAAAATAGTTAGACACCTTTGCCCTTCAAAGGTGAGCCCCATGCCAACACTGTTCTGAGTGCCAGATTCTGCAGAAAGTTGAAGTTAGGCTATACATTGGATCTTATTATTTTAGAATGAAGGAATGGACTCACTGAGAAGTCAAACACAGGTGTTGGTGACAAAGCTGGGATTCCCCAAGGTTGGTTCACATACACTGAGCCTATGGCTCTTGGTGTGATTTACTTTGTCAATGTGGACCTCATTCCCATTCTGCTTCCGTCCTTCTCTGACCATCATCACTTCCCTCTTTGGTCAGTGCCCTCATCCTCTGCATGATGATAGGATCTTACCCTTCCCTTTATGCCTTGGCAGGAATCAGCATTTTCCACCTTCTTTAGTGGCAGTCTCTGGAGAGACGTCCCCTGTGGGAATTTCAGAAGACCGATGATGTCAAAGCAGAGTATAGCACCCTTCCTCATTGGAATTACATGCCAGGGATGATGGGGGGGTGTACAGGCCAAGTGGGCAGATTCCTAACACCATACCACATGTCTGCTTCTACAGAGATCCAATCACTAAAGTGAATGTAAAACAAATTGCATCAGAACACCCACAAATTAACCCAGCTCCTGTTATTCGAAGCTTTTCCAAATAATGTTTGCCTTTACTAGAGATCATATGTTTAGTGGGTGAGGTCAAAAGTGAGCCTCGTTCATGAATTTCAGATGCTGATAAATCCCAGAGCATGTCAGGAATCCTGAAAATTATCCCACCCTTGGCTAGGCTAGTGCCTTCGCCCTCCAGAAGAGCATTTACCTGGTGGATAGAGGACCATCAAGGAGGGTGAGGGACTCTTTCCTGTCTCATCACAGCATGCCACTTAGTCCCATTCTCCATCTTCCTGCTTTTCTAGGGGACAGAGCCTCCACACCTGTACATCCCCCCTCTCTCCTCCACTCTAAGCAACTTCCTGCAGAGCACCTGAGCGCTGCCTCTCTACCTAGTCAGAGAAGAAAGCTGAGACCATGTAATTATGACATCCCGGGGGTAATTTTAACTATAAGTCATTATTCTAAAACAACCAATGCAATTCCCATTTGCCAGCACAAAGAGATGATTCTCACTAGCCTGAACTCACTGTCAAACATGCCAGGAGAAATAAAAAGGTGCTAATGCAATATAGCCCAGAAATAGAAAATAAGATTAGAGGCAACACTCAAGATTCCAGGCTGCAGCGTTTGGGGGATGTAGCTCAGGGTTTAGTTAGCAGGAGAACTGTCAGACTAAAGCCTCTGAGGTCATTAACACCGGAACCTTCATTAAAGCAAGTGGATAAAATTAAAGGTTGTTTGGTGAGGGTTTAATTTTTCCTGGAGGTTTGTAATCTCCGAAGAGCAGTTAGGGCTGGCTTAGGGGCCAAGGTACAGGCTTTAGAGTGGAGATCAGGGCACTGGAGTCCTGATCTCCTGGAGCCTCCTGAGGACAGGCTGCATGAGGGAAGCCTGCTCAGCACCAAGGGCTGTGAAAGCAGTTAGCTGAGTCCTCTTGGCTTGACTTGGTCTTCTTTGAGATGGCCTCACAGTGGCTCCACAGTCTTGGCAATAATTGCCCAGTAAGGTAAGAGTGTGGAGGGAGGAGTACTAAGTAGTGGAGTAATTTTCTAAGGACATTAGAGTTCTGGGGTCAGGACAGGGTCTCAGAGTAGGTCCAAGGGTGTTGAAGAAAACATATGGACAGGTTTGGCTCTGGCAAAACTGGTAGCAGCCAATGATCATCTGGGACTCCTCTCTGTTGCCTTGGGGATCGTCTCTGACATCTGGTGTCTCCCCATTCACCATATTCCATATTCTACTTTCTTTGTGTCTTGTGTCATCTGGCTGTCACAGACTCCAAATTCCCTCAATGGTGAGAGATAATTTGAATTCAAAGGTGTTAAACACTGGTCTCAGGAATATGTACAGTTGCTGAAAGGCACTTTTGAAGCTGGAAAGGACATATGATCCCAAAGGAATCTGCTTTAGGTGATGGAACGAAGGTGACATGTTTGGTTAATGAGGAAGGACAAGGGGACAGACCTCTGCAGTATACTCCAATACCAAGGTGAGGGCTCAGAGGCCATGACACCTGGGATCTAGCCTTCAGCCTGTTCTAGAATGCTGGGCAAAAATCTCTTCTTCCTCAGGCATCCCCACACCCAAAGCAGAGACCAAAGAAAGGACGCTTGCCAAAGCTCTTAATCTAGGAGTTAATAAAAGTTGAGATGAAGTGTGCTGAGACTGTCTCTCTCTCTTTCTCTCTCTCTCTCTCTCTCTCTCTCTCTCTCTCTCTCTCTCTGTGTGTGTGTGTGTGTGAGTGAGAGAGAGAGAGAGAGAGAGAGAGAGAGAGAGAGAGAGAGAGAGAGAGAGAGAGAGACCTCAGGTGCAGGCCGTATTTGTTTTGAGACAAGGTCTCTCACTGGCCTGGGACTTGACAATCAGAATAGGCTGGCTTGCCCACAAGCCTTAGGAACCCACCTCTCTCCTATCCCGTGCTTGGCTGACAAGCAAAAGCCACCATGCCTGTATTTTTAATGTGGGTTCTGGGGTTCAAATTCAAGCCTTTATGCTTTCAACACAAGCACTTTACTAGTTGTTTTCCCTCCCCAGGTCCTGTGGCTTGTAATCTTGAAGGAAAACAAAATCTGGGCACAAAGGAGATTCTTTTGGTAGTAAGCCCTGGAGGGTTGCTAAGGTGCTTTTGTGGAGACATGTCTTCACTAGAGCCAAAGGAACCCAAGTCAGGCAATCTCATCTGGATCTATATCTGGAGGTGAGGAGTAGCTGGTTCCCAGGGAGTGAGTGTTTGGTTGTGCACA